GGCTAGACCATCCAAATTCAGCCTCTTTTTTTCCGGTCTTCCCGGTCTACCAAGGACCCGGCCCGCCGAGACCGGGGAGTCTGGGTCCTCCGGAGGACCCGGCCTGTTGTTTTGGACACAGCCCCAGATGGAGCAGTGAAGGGAAACTAGAATTGAGCGGAGCTGCGTAGGAAGACAAGGGCCAGGCTAATTTAACACTATTTCTTGACTATTAAATGTTATTACTATAGTTCTATTTGATTTTTGTATTGAAGTATTTTCATAGCTGTAAACATCAAACATATTTTTATCTGTTGTACTCTTGTTGATTTAATGAAGAAAAAACTAATAAATGAACCACTTCAAAAGATTTGAAAACTTATTGATGTAATTGTTTAAAGATGTTACTTTGAAATAATAACATTTGCTTCAAAATAAAGATAATCAGATTATGCCTCTTGATTGTGAACATGATACAATCTTCAGCAGACAAGTTAAAATAAGTTTGTTTGAATCATAGAAACAATGTTGTTGAAATATTGAAGAATTAGGATTAATTTATTCTGGCCCACGTTAAATGAACTGATGAGAGAAAATTGCTGATGTTTTTAAAGCCAAACATTTTTTGTTTAAGCTGAAATATTTGTTCACTTATTTTAGTCAGTCTTACTTCCTTTTTATCCATTTAATTTTATTGTATTGTATTAGATTATACTCAGGGATGAACATAACATTTTGGGTCTGGTTCTCAGAGGTGAACCTGGGGTTGTTGCTTGTTTCTCATATTTTCCTTCACTCATTTAGACTTTTAGACTACACCTGCCCCTCAGATGGACAACTCCTGTAGTTAGTCTTCTGGGTCTTTGGCCTTGGTTAAATCGGCTTTCCAGTCCAAGCAGCAAATACTGTATCTGTCTTTTGTACAAAACAAATAACTTAAAACTACAAATGTTTTATTTGTTAGACTGATGATTTTTTTTAGATTATATTATTTAGATGGTTTCAGCTCATATAATCATTTAGCATTTCTTATTTTTTATTTTTGATCATTTATTGAATCACATTCATCCCAGAGCAGCTGTGTCACAGAGTGATTCTATATAGAAACATGTTTAGCACATCAAGGACCTTGTTGTTTCTATAAAACTGTGAATAATGAAATTAGTGGATCTTTATGATAAATTACAAGAACATTTAAAACTCACTCACCTAGAGAAGATGTGGTTTTTTTTTTTGTTTGTTTTTTTTGATGATGGGTGAGGTTAAACAAAGACTCATCTTTGCTTTAATATAGGACAAACAAATGTTCTGTTAGAGTTAATGTGGTTTAATTAGAAGAACTCGAACAGTGAATCTCACAGAAAGACTCACAGCCTGCGCGCGCTGCAGCTGATTTGTTAAAAGCTGTCTTTAATCCTGATACAGCAGGGTCCCACCTCCCTCCTCAAATGACTAATCGCAACTGGATTTATTTATTGTTATTAAGAAATCAGGTCACATTTGCAACCAAACTGGTCGCACTCGAACCTTGCTAGCTGTTGTTTTCACAATCTCAGGTACAATTTCAGGTACGCAAGTGAGCCTCATGACGTTCCATCTGGTGCACTCTTTTTTTATTTTATTTTATTTTGATAGTGCACCTGGAACTTATGTGCACTTCTAGTAATTTATTAGAGTTAAATACATCTTTACAGGAAGAGTTGATGTTGGTGTCTAAGTGGGATGATGAAAATAAGTTAAAATTAAACATCTTTAAAACAAAAGCAATGGTTTTGGCATCTAGGTATGTTCTAAGAACAGATTCAAAGCTCATTGTCTCTCTAAAAGGAATGGCTATTGAACAGGTGAAACAAATTATTAGGTGTGTGGCTAGATGATCTAGCCACACACCTCGGTCTCGGTTATTAGAAGATGCAGGTATTTTTTAACTGAAAAAAGTGTTAGACAAGTTATACATGCTTTGGTCCTGGCTCATTCAGAATATTGTATAGTTGTATGGTCCTCTGCCTCTAAACAAGGTGTTCATAAGATCCAGCTCATTCAGAATAGAGCTGCTAGACTCGCTTTGAACTGTTCAAAGCGAGTCTAACATAAAAAAAACCCCAAAGCATTACAATGTAGAGATAATGCTTAACAGACTACCATGGCAAACAGTTGAGCAGAGATTGACCAGTAGACTGGTTCAGTTTGTTGGGAAAATATCTCTAACCAAAGAACCAGTCTGCCTTTATACTGTTGACTCTCTTAAAAGACAAATATGAGTATAGAACTAGATAAACTACTTTAAGGAATTATAAATTACCTTTACCTAAAACTAATACATTAAAAAATCTGTATTGTATAGAGCTGTTTCCATATGGAATAAACTGCCTTCATGTATTACACANATGATTTTATATTAATTTAACAGAAAAGTTTTTTAAGTTGTTTGTCTGAAATCTAAAAGAACCTAAATGAATTTATGACCATTTGGTTTGCAGAATCTTCTGACTGAGTTAAAATATCTCACAGCTTCAAAGTCATGAAATTCTAATATTTAGGGCTGCAGCTCTCAAAGAGTAAACATGCAAGAAAAAGTTAAAGACTGAGAAGTAAAAGTGGGAAACACAAAGACAAACAGAGAAAACATGTAGGGTTTAACAAACTGCTGGTTCAGGATCTTACAGAAAGGTGGTCGTAGTTCCTGCYTCTGTTATCGCGTCTTGGATCGATAGAAAAGTAGCTGGGTGGTTTCTCTGGCCAATCCCTCCCCCGTCCTCCATTTCTCCTACTGCTGTCCTCCTCATCAGAGCTCCAGGAGCCTTTTCTGTGCTGAGGAGGAGAGTAGCTCCTCTCCCTCCGACTTGATCTGGTACGCAGCTCTTCAAGCAGGTCGTCTCGGCTGCGGGTACGCGGCCTGGACCCACCTCCTGCCCTCCCACCAGAGCTTCCTCTCTCGTTCCTCGAAGCCCTCGAACCCCTGTGTGGTGCTCTCCCTCGCCTGTTGTCCCAGTCCGAGTCGTCGCTGTAATCCCGTAGAATCCCCTGCGCAGGAGGGTCTGCGCCTCTGTACCCTCGGCRGTCCCGGTGGAGGCCTCCTCCGGAGCGGTTGGTGCTGCTGCTGGACTGACTGGGCATCCTGYAATAATCTCTGGCTCCATCACCYCCAGAGAACCCCCTGCGGGGGGAAAAACTGGGAACTCGCTCAATAATAGGAGGCAGAGTGATCACCCTCCTCTCTTCACCTTTCACCCCCATCTCATCCAGTGCCGACAGCATGCTGGGCGGTCCAGGGGTGTAGGGGACCACTGGAGGAGAGGGCTGAGCCTGTAATGAGGCCATGTTCCGAACAGCTTGAGGGGCCATCTGAGGGACCCCGACTTCCAGRCCCCTCACCTGGTTCTCCAGGTAGTCCAACACCTGGTTGTTTCCTGGAATGATGCTACGTASGCTGTTGTTCCTGTAATGTTGTAGAGGAGGAGGGGCCTGCTGCTGCAYGGTCATGGGTGTCAGCTGAAGGGGAGTCATGGCAAAGTTTGGTTTGACTGGATAATCAGATCCAGAACCTGGAACCAGCACAGCAAAATACATCAAATATACCACTGACCTACAAAGTCTACGTGTTTTAAGAAAAGAAAATCAGTTGTTTTTTAAAATTACCTACAATAACATTTAGACATTTTATGAAATCAATCACAGAAGCCAAACTAAAACATAATCAAAGTTTAACCACAGTAGTGTTRGTATTATTCACCTGAGTAGAGTAAAGGCACACCCTGGGAGGAGGCATTAGATACACTTGTATAAATAGGTTGACCATTCATCCATGGAGTCATGACCTTCTGAGCCTCCTTAATCATCCGGTGCTGCATCACAGCTGAGATCAGAGCAGAAACCACAACTGTTCAGATGGTGGAAACAGACCCAGCCTTTACTACTAAACAGGGCAGCTTGAGAATAAACACCCATCTTCTTGTAATAAAAATTCTAAAAAAGCAAAATAATTATACTTCAAAAATTGTACATTTTGTCAACCCTGAACCTGAAAGAATTGTTTTCATTAAATTAAAGAGTAACTTACCCCAAAATTAACCTTTTTTTAGCTGATAAACTGC